TTTTTTTTTTTTTTTTTTTTTTTTTTTCTATCTACAGCTTTAATCTTCCACAGCCTTATGAGCTAATCAGTGTCAGAAACAGCTGCGTTGGTCTGGTCTGTAATATCCTTCCTAAGAAAGAAGAACCATCACAAACTACCTGTAAGAGATATTAGTCGCATTCCTTGGTGTAATACTGGAAGCACCCAGCTATAATGCTGGCGGAAGTGGTGTGAAAGCCAATTTAGAACAGAAAAAAAAAAATAGTTATGTGCAAGATCTTCGAAGAAGAGGCTGTAAATGTGCAACATGAAACAGGGAAATTAGTCTAGCTTCCTTATGATTTTAAGCCGTATTTCATTTGCTCTGCTATCATTGCTATTCCAGCAGTAATAACATTATAAAATCTATCAGAAAGAGCTGAGAAGGTTTCTTACACCATAACACCTAAATACTCACTTTTATAATCCATAATACCCACAGTACCCCAAGAAATCCCTGCACTCTTTGTGCTACATCCCAGAATCCACCACTCAGGTTCTGGTCATTCACCCTGCTATCCCACTCTGCACTGCTTAATAATCTCTTGCTTTTCTGTTGATTTCTCTATATGGAAAATGTCAAAGGCATTTATACCTCATGGATATAAATTGGAAAACTACACCTTTAAAAATATATCAAAAAGTATAATTTACTTGTCTGCTTCAGAGTTGCCATGAATCACTCATTCCTCCATACCATATATTCAGCCAAGTTCTTTCCTGCAGCTGGTAGCGCGCAGGCAGTTTTCCTTGCAGCTCAAATGGCTGGAGTCAACCTCACTTCAAAGGAAAGCTTCTTCTCAAGCACAGCATTGTGACCCGAATTCAGAGAAGACCACAAAGAGTTCAGGAATCAGCACCCAAAGTCTTGCATGGCCCAGGCTGGACTTGGCTACACAGTTCCCCCCTCAACTGGGAGCACTAAAAGTTTGGCACAAGGCGTGAAACATTTAACTAGGCTGCCACTATGTAAAAATGATAGAGTCTGCCTGAGCAGAACATCTGTCAGTGAGGTGGCAGCTGGCAGAGCCCGGCAAGGATTTTCTGGAGAGAAATGGGGCGCAGCTTCCTAATAGAGAGCTGCGATGCTGAGCTGTGTGGGAGGGTGAGGGGAACATGTGTGAGCAGGCGTGTTGCTCGCTCCATGAAGAGACAGAAGAACAAGTGCCCTGAGGAGCCTTGTTTGGGAGAGCAGACGTGAGTGCTGCCGTGTGAGAGGTACCGATGGGTGCAGGAGTATGAGTGCTCGGCTGGGTGATCCCTCATGGCCCAAGCAATGTCCTCTGATTGCCCGCAGGCTCTTGCTATCCAGGCTATGTCAGTGAAGTGTGATCCCAGACTTCTTTCCTTGCAGATTTTTACTTGCATGTGCAGGGGTCTAGCTGCAGGCCTTTTAAGAAGGGGATACCTGGAGCAAGCTGATGGTTTTATTGTGGGCCCAAGCTCTTGTCTTGGTGGTCTCACTGCAGATGGGGCTGAGCAGCCCAGTCCACAGGCAGGTATCCAGGACCTGGCTCAGCAGAAGGAAAGAGCTTTGAGTGGAAAGATCATCTAACATAGTATGGGGAGAGGTGGTTCTGATACTGCTCTCCCATTTGTACTCCTACTGGTTTTAAAGAAATTATATATGACCTTGTATAGAGCATTTTGGGTAGCCCATCACTGACTTGCTCCTTATTCCCTCCAAGAACACACTTCTAAAAATGAGCTCCCAGTAGGACTTCCATGGGAAGGGACATTACAGAGCCATGGGAGCTTCCCACAATGGCACAGGGAGGTGGGACAGGAGGAGGACAGATACTGGAGGGAGACAAACAAGAAGAGGCTGAGACCAGCTTTGGGAGTCAGCAGGCTTGTGGGTGCTGAGGAGGGATGTTTGGAGACAGAGCTTTGGTGATGGTCTGGGGAAGTCAGCCTGGTTGCAAAAGCTCCTTTGTAAATACAACAGGGCCTCAGTTCATCATTTCAAAGCTTTGGCTCCATGTCAGGCTGAGTCCTTA